TTACAAAAGCGTTCTACCGCTTGGACTATGGTATCATGCTTCACAACCCTTAGTAATATAGCATTGGTGATCCAGTATTGGGAAGGATCGGTAAATTTATTTGCAAACGTAAATAGGAGGTTAGAATTTAAGCAAGCTTGTCCCATCAAATTTCTTAGCATGTGGTGTGTTGTGGAATTCGTTACTGTGGTCTCGCCTGTTCTTTGCTTTCACTATCGATAAAGCAGGAGGTATTACACCAAAATGTTACCCTTCCCGTACGATGTTAAGCTTTGGTCGGGGATGAAATATTTGAATGATCACCAGATCATTCAGTACGACCTCGATAAGGCCTGGAATTGCTCGGTGATGGACGCGGTGCTTTGTGCTGTGGAAAACTACTGTTACCCACATCCACCACCGGCACAGCTACATCTACAGTCTTGGGGCGTAGTATCTGAAATCACCTATCAGGAAGCAGGCAACATTGTGCTCTTACAGGACGACCTCAGTTGTTCTAGAGAGTTCAAGTCCTCTTCGAGAAGTGGTAGGCAACATGTTGATCCCTTGCGGAGGGCTCTCAGGAAGTGGGATTCACATATCTTCTTTTCCCTGGGGCCTAATGTTTACGTGCATTTTCACGTCGTATACGCCATCCAGACTTAGCTATCATAGTAAAAAGCGTGATTTGGTAATATTCAAGAGCCCTCCAAAGCCGCGTAACGTAATTGTTTAAACATGTGCACCATCTTCCGTACCATGTAAGTCTGAATATGCTCTGAGTGTTCAGTGGATGTTACCGGTAGCTACCGGGAGACCTTATAATGATATATTAAATACTGAGTGATCCAAGTCAGTTAGAAATTGGGTGTTACCCGTCCGAAAACATTACACTCCATCTGATAAGATCAGTTGAGGTGGAAAAAGCATCAGCGTGCGTGCGCATCCAGCTATCTCGCCTCAATGGCTTTCAGAAACTGTGACTCATACCGATATACGTAATGCAATAAGGACAGATGAGTAGTCCGATTGTTGGGGGGTTATTGTGTTGCCGTCTTCTACCAATCCACTCACAAACCGACGGTTTCGTCCTAGTTTGTACACATCGGGCAGAGATAGCCAGATTTGGGAATGGCACTTGGCACATAGTGATTGGGTGCTATCGCCATAATCACTAGACTATTGAGCACCGCGAGCAGAACTTGACACAGCGGTTAGAAGCTGATTATCGGGTTTTGGAGTACCCGCCGTGTGTCTTGCATTGCGATACGAAGTTTCAATTGTGGCTTCAGTTGACTTTGAAGTCAGCATCTGCCATTCCGAGCTCTGTGATCGAATTGGCTCAAGTTCGTCTCAACGCGAACCATGGCCACAACTGAGGCTGCGTGTCTCAATTCAAAACCCACGGCGAGTGCTCCAATCTCCAGCAATCAATCATCCCGACTGTTCTTTACGATGGGCATTAACAATATTACATTTTGCTTGGTGCATTCTCATTCTCACTTCGCTACTTTTAATCTGCTGCTATCCCATCGTTTCGCCGATGCATGTTTTTTGTTCCCGCAAGCGCAGTCTTTGAATTTGTAAATCCTTCCCTTGCCAACTTACGGGACCTGTTAAGCCTAGGTATTTATAACCAGCTATGAGCTCACTACTGAATGTTACAACAATTCTTATACAATCCTAGCCATTATATACTCCAAAGTATTTACACCTCTTTTTGGGTGCTCCATCGGACAAATCCATTGTGTTAAACGGTCTTACATTATTGCCAATGGGCTATACCTCTAATTACTATGATGCATGGAACGTTAGTCGCGCGGCTTTCTGACCGATTACAGAGTGGTCCATACCACTTGCAAAAGCGAGGGCCCCACAGTTCGATACTTACCATGCTTCTGATTTTTATTTACTGTTAATTACCTAACCAATGCCTTGTGGCACCATTGACCCTTTTTATCCGAAATAACTGGCAAAGAAATTACAAGCATTCCTAAATTAGTTGAAGGATGTTTATGAGTAACGTAAGTTTCGTAGAAAGTAGAAGTCACGATTATACTCCACACGAAAATCTTCCTCGACGGGGAATCGAACCCCGGTCCACGAATTTCCGGTCCCCTGCTCTACAACTGAGCTACCGAGGGCTGACGATTAGGTGCGGAATTTAATACATGGCTTCTGCTTGATACGCGACGTATTGCCAATGAGCTCACGGTAACTGTCCTGGTGTTGCAGATCGTCTCACTCACTCGTCACTTCTCATTAGACCGAAGTAACTGTCCTTCTGAAGTCCAAAGGGCGATGGTAGATTAGTTGAAGGATGTTTGTGAGTAACGTAAGTTTCGTAGAAAGTAGAAGTCACGATTAAACTCCACACGAAAATCTGCCTCGACGGGGAATCGAACCCCGGTCCACGAATTTCCGGTCCGCTGCTCTACAACTGAGCTGCCGAGGGCTGACGATTAGGTGCGGAATTTAATACATGAATTCTGCTTGATGCGCGACGTATTGCAGCGGACCGGAAATTCTTGGACTGGGGTTCGATTCCCCGTCGAGGCAGATTTTCGTGTGGAGTTTAATCGTGACTTCAACATTCCTAAATTCTGGTGCTCTTAATATCTTCTCCCGTGGTGTTTGATTCTTAGCCACCCAATTTGGACCGAGCTCTGAGCCAACTTGCGATACCGATTAATCTTTCATTGTCCTAACTTAACTAGCAACAGTCGGCTCAAAACACTTCTCAAGTCGGGTTATTAGTTTCTCTTTTCCCTATATGATTCACGATTGATAGTGCGTTTTTCATTGTTCTCAAGCATATGTTCGCTGAGAATCGATCTTGTTTTATACATCGACGGAACAAGTATACGTTTTAAATTACACATTATGTTAGAAGCTGAGTACTTGAAGAACCAATTAAACAGTGAGACATAGACCCATTTGTGCTTCTTGCTGCTAACTATATGCATGCCATAACTACACATATCGTGAAGAACATCTGGGCTTATATCAGGGAAAAGTATGGAAGCAGTGTACTTTTTTAGTTGAGACCCAAACGAGTACTCTTTCGTGCGAGATAATACCGTGAACATTGACCGTATGGAAAAACCGGCTCAACTTCTGCTACCCCCAAGTGCTTATCATGGAAAGATCTGGACACTGTTTAATGGAATTCGGTCTGGTTTTCGAGGAGTACTATGTATCCATTCCTTGGTGGCAAGCAGCTGGAATCCGTCGACACGTTTGGTGGTGCACGATGCATTCCATCATGAGTTTGCTACGGACAAAGTGACAGTACTAATGGAAGAAGGTTCAATCTGTGGTATGGCAGATTAAGGAAGCCGAGATTTCGAGTCCTTTTTGCGCATGATATTTACAAGTGGATAATTATGTCCTAGCAAATGTGTGCAGCTCAGAAAGTCTGTTCCAGATGATGATGTGGTCGTGTTGCTTGAGCTTACTTGTCCAAAGAGGACCAGTGCTCACGCAGTGGCCTGATTTTCTTATCACCCCACGGAATGTGAGAGCGCCGTGCTCAACGGGGTGTCGTTATGCTTTTATCGACTCTTTGTAGGCAGGCTATTTCATTCACATCAGCCATTAACGTTAACACATCTCACATAATCTCACCTTGTATTACAACATGCTATGTTAGCAGCAATTGTATGGTGTCGTGATAGCTTTTTATCCCTTGTCGAGTTTGACAACCATCTGAATATTCCAATTGTTCGAAAAGCCATGCAACATTTTGGGTCATAATGCATGCTGTTTTTTCAGTGATGTAAAAGCTTGGAAATGCGTAGACCATTCACATTGACCATATCAACAGAGTAACAAGGGGATGCAGTTGTTCCATTGTTTGATTTTCGTGCCCACACATTCAGACACGCTTGGTTAAATCGGCTCAGTTAGTCATCGACTTTTATGATAACATGCATTTCTCACTTGATGTTGTTATATTTTGTTACAAATTTATCGTGTTCGAAGCACGGGAGCATCCAGACTGTATAGAAATCGAATGGCTGAATATCATACACGAATGTGAGCATCCCAACTGTTCAGGCTCGGGAGGACAGCTGTTACTTAACTGCAATGATCGGATCCGGTTATCGCACATTAGCATTCGAACCCTTGCTGCGATCATTAGACGGGTAGTCTATCAATGCAAAGTTTTTACTTCGATTTGTTGGGTTACAATTAACTGATCCAACTACTTTTCTTTTGAGGATTTTGTGCGAATGGAAATGTTATGGGGCAGATATGCCATCTGTTGTAAGCAATCACCAGGTGGTATGCACTATCACAGTGTTCCGGAACACTGATCAAATGTCATCGGTCTGATGCCCGTAAGCACACCAACTTGAAAGGTCACCTAACCTCTTGAGAGTAAGCATCTGGACTGAATTTCTGTGGGACCTTGCGCCATAAGGTCGGTGCGTCGCACAGTAACACGCACTCGTTTCTGCTGAGATTTCTTCTCTAATTTGGCTGGTTGACTTAAATTGTCATGAGCTTCATTTTAGCCAAATTTCTGAATGCCTCTTATCCTGACTGTACTGGTCATGCATCTCGTAAGATAGAAAACAGTGCTTGAACGGCTGTCTTATGGAATGGTATATAACCTGAAAATTTTCATTGCGTTGTTTAACGAAACTGCATTCCATCTTTGTCCCATGGTATGCGTTTCGGAATTTATAGACATTTCAACATGCTAGATCGATTGTGGTTTCAAAACAGTTTTTCTCCCTTCAGTAACTGCACCTCCCAATAACAAAGTGTTGAGAACCCTAGATGCTTCGAGTTTCCCTCTGAACTTTTTGAAATTGCATACCATCGGCATTTAATTTCTTTCCTTTTTATAACACAATATCCGAGAGAAAATAAATATTACTACGTTGTTCAGTGATCTGATTCGACTTACCAAATAGTAGGAATTAAATTAGTCGGGAAACTATGTATCTAAATTGACTTTTGATATTTTCACTGATTTATCATCCTCTTTTTCTCTCTCATTTTGCCCACAGTTTCTCAATGGCTTGGTGGTACGGTTGCCGCTGCGAACAACGCAATGGATGGTATTCAACTTGGCTGTGATCCGCGTTATTTGTATTCGCCAGAACCCATCAACCAAACGGAATCGGACGGAAACATCATTCAACCGAGAACGTACATTGGGACTGGGCAGTGCGCTCTTTATACAGGTGCCTCAATGCAATACACTTCGGTGGATGCATGCGCCAGTCAAGAGGAAGGCGCATGCCTAGCAGGATTCAGTGCTGATGTCGAAGCAGGTAAGATCACGGCAGGGTAAATTGGATCCTCACTGTAATGAACCGTCCAGCTAGATGCCAACATTACTAAGGCCGACTGGAGACATTCTGTTACAAATCCATCTATCGCTACTCACTTGTAGTGTTCCACAACCCGATCATTTGGTCGTTTTACAAAAACTCACGAGAACACTGTGATTTTTCCTTGTTGGTTGTCATTTCCATAGTCAGTTGGTTTAATTTATGCAACGCCGACTCAGCAGTAAGAAAGGCCTAAAGTGAACGTAATGATTGTAGACTGTGTTAATTTATTTATGTTAAATGTGCTCCTTGACTTTATTTGACATTAGCTAATGTGGGAAACTGTTTGCTAGCTGGTCTACTCGCGACACATGCAAAAGGATTTTATTCCAATCCGTTGTATTTTATGTTCATCTTCCACCTGGTATTTCTGACAATACCAGGAGCGTGCAGTCCCCGTGTAGGCTTAAATTTAAGTTGATTAATTGCTGTCTACATTTCTGAATGCTGTCTACGTTTCTGAAATTCCTGAACGATTTTCGCCAAATTCGGTGTTGGTATTTTACGACCTGCCCGAATCTTGCAAAATTCGCCTAACCAGCCTTTTCACTGTGCACATCGATCCATTAGCGTCGAGGTTTGCTTCCCCTGCCGTACTTGTACTTTTAAGCTAGATTTGCTAAGATACTCGTGTTTGAACGATTATTATAACTTGTTAGCCAGGGGCTACAAAACGCAATCATTGTCTTGCCAAACGCCTACCCATGGATTTATGAATTTATACCTTTAATACGCGAACATCTCCGCTATTCTACATAAGTCCATGATGAGTCCACCACAACGCTTTTCACTTTATCATGCAATTCATTTTCGCAATAATTTCCATCCCACTTGACTTGTTTAACAATGCTTTTTTACCCTTAATAAACCATTGTTCCATTGTGCCATTTTTCTATCTAATCGACAATTGAGGTTTTCTATTTACAGTTCTGGAGCTTAATTAAAGACCTTTCAACCAGTTCATCGATACATCAGATGACCCTTGGCTGAGCCCATTTTGATTTTACAGAGCCACCTACCTGGTCTGCATTGCGCTCGCGTACGATTATATAGCACAAAACAGTTTCAGTTTGATTCAAGCCATATCCGTTGTACGTGTAAATAGGGACAATTATTGCTTCTGAACACGACCGGTAGCCGGAAGTATTACATGCCTACCTTGGAATCTGGAGGTCGCCGTTTCGAATCCGCGTCGGTGCGGGAAACATCGTGTTAACATCGATGGCTGCGTGGCACCGAGGCTTTTTCACGGTGTTCTGGCGTTGTGCTGATGCAATCTTTGCCTACTAAACGCGCTCACCTTCCCTTAGTGCTCATACCCTTCACGATTTGGTCTGTCCGCTGAAGTACCCCAGTGCCCTAATATTATTCTAGTCTGCGGACGTAGTAAACCCCACACAAGGGTAGTTTTTAACTAGCGGGATCTCGATGCTTACTGGTCTAGATGTTGAGATACTGGAAATAAGGCGCTCACTAGAAGGACCCAACCTAGCTTAGACTGTGGACCAGACCGTAACGGAGCCATCCTGTGCGTTAAGCATCGTCACAAAGAGAGAGAACGCTATTCGCATCCGCCTGAGTAACAGGTAGAATTCTCCTGAAGCTACTAATCGAGTTGACGATGTTACGTTAGTAATGTGCACCGATTCAGAAGTCAGGTAGGTCGCCAGCCTGAAGAATTACGTGAGAATTGCTTCCGGCGATGCAGTGGAGCATAACCGCTGTCGAAAACCCTAGGAGGAACCCAGATAAAACGCAGCGCCTCAATCAGCGTGTCTTACCGCGAATATTTATTGTAGTCGTTCAAACCAAAGGAAACATCACTACATCGGAGATAGGCCAAATACACGGCAAAAATAAGCGACCTACTCATTGGTGCTTTACAGGTAGTAACAAGAAACGAAACGCGCTTGAAATAATACTAATGAGAACTAGCTCCCACAAATGGTAGGCACAAGCTGGATATCCAGGAAGATCGCATTACAAACTATTAAAAAAGCTTCTTAAAATTCGCATCACAGCTATGCGTACCGCATATACCATTAAAATAAAAAGTTAAATAATTTGTATATATATATTTATATATTGCTTTTCCCAACCCTGGGAAGAGCTACACCCATTTATTTCCATTCCAGACACGGTCCTCGATATTGGAATGACCGAGATTTACCTCAAAGTGAGCCGAGATCTCAATAGAGGTTACGAGTTGTACCCCAACCACATAGCGTGCTCCCTAAATTCAGCTTTGAAATAAGTAATTTATTCTCAAATACTTCGAAGCACATCAAATCGGGCATGATCAAGAAAACAAGTTTCGTGGTTGTGTTCAACCTCCCACTAAACACTATTGGCAAGCCTCACCGTCCATAGATGCTCTCGTTTGATGCAGTTCCAGCTTTAATCTGAGAAAGATGATGGTGTTTTTAGCTCGTTTAAATGCCATTAGCCAGTTGTACATTTGTGTTAGTCATCAAGGTAAATTGGCAGATTACACAATGGTGAATTTAAGAACCCATTTTTAAATCTCACGAGATACAAGATCTGGTTACATGGCATTATTTGTAGATGGGATTTTCGTGTTCCAAGCCCACTAGGTAAACATTTCCGTACTTCTAACTGAAGGGATTAACACCATGCTTTAGAATCAGGATGAAAAGTCTCTTCTTCTGCCGATTTTTCTTTATCCTCGGACAACAGTAAACACCGATATTTTTGGGGACAGAATTACAGGGTGTGATGCACAGTGAGGTACACACTATTCTCAAGCCAAGTCTACACATCTTATATTAATTGACTGGATTGGGTTAAACAATGAAGCTTGGAACTGAGTCTGCTCCTGCCTTTCTGTTGCCAGTTTTGAACACGCAATGTTTGACCGAGTAAAATGAATGAAGACAGAGGTTGAACATCGGTTTACCTCATCTTACTAACTGGACAAGTGGCACAAGTTACGCAGTGTCAGGTTAACAAGTCACTGTCAGATACAAGTCTAATGAGAGGAATATGATTGGCGGCATCCGGTTTCGGATTTACCTGTCACTGTGGCCAGCCACAGGACGCATGCGCCTACAGAGGGACCATTTATGGCTTGCGCTGCAACACCCACAGCTCCAACCACACACCCCATATCCAGTGTAAACCCGAAGGACTAAGACCGGGAAGCATGTGGATGGGAGCCACGTTTCATCAACGGAGCCGGCCCACACTCCTTCACAGGCAAACACAAGCACGCTGTATTTGGGGAATCAAGCGCACACAAGGCGGTGGCTGGACCGTAGTCCGCTCCACACTGAGTGCATGGAACCACTCTTCGAGCCTAGCACGACTACAAGGACCGTGCACTCCGTCCCCTCCAGCAACGACCAACTGTCTCCTGGAGCCAGTATGGACGAGGTAGTGGGTACTAGACAGGCGGGCACTTTGTCAACATGCACATCAAGCGCAGCCACACCGGGGATATCAAGCAACAGCTAATCACTTGAGAGAAAGCTAACAAATGAAATAAATGGAGTAATGCATAGCGAAACGTGACAAAAATCTTAACTTAATGAGCATATGAAATAAGTTGTTAACAAAGGATCCGAGATAAGTACAGGGGGTCAGAAAGTATATTTTACGCAAATGACGCAAACGCGTAAATGTTATCGAAATTAATTACAATTGGCTTAAACGAGTTGTGCTGGTTTATGGAAGAGCGTACAGGTGGACATTTATTTGAGATTGAAATGCATTAGGACAATATTGAAAACCCGCCACCTGAAATAAAGAGACTTAGCATGCAAGCACGCGGTTAGTAAATCGAATGCAGCCTACCTACAAACGTTGCGCTGGTTCTGCCTATGTTCTCTGCAGGACCCGTCGTCGCTTCGGTAGTGGTCCCGAGTGGTCTCGCTCATGGCTCACTAAGCCTGCCTGACTCAGGCACTCGCGACCGCATGTGCTACAGCACCAAGCGCTTGATGTCGAAGTAGAACAACCTATCGGTGCTTGCCGCTTCCGCACTTGCCGCTTCTCCGCAGGCATGAGGGCTTTCTCCTGCACCTCTGTAACTGCCGTCGTGATCAGATCGCGCCATGCACGCCGATCAACCGCCTTCGATTCCCATGATCCGCAATCAAGATTAGAACGTGAGAGGCTCACTTTAATCATGTCCTGGTAACGTAATTTTGGTTTTCCCACGTGCCGCTTCCCTATACTCAGCTGACCATATAAGAGGAATATATATGGTTCTATAAAAACAAGGCAGTTGCACGAACCCAAGATATGAATGTAGACACTTGTTGGGGCAAATATCATCTATCGTTTGCGTAAACTCCAACCACCAAAGGTTCCACTTATCTACGAACTTTCTCCTGTAGACTTCCTGTGGCACCCTGCTTCTGTGTCTATTTACACCGTATATATATCTCCAGCTTCAAGCATTTTTACTCTTTTGAGGCGTTAATATGATCTGCTGTCGGCCCCTTACTCTCTCGTTTTCTTGGTACTTCTCTCTTACTGGCCCTTCCATAGTTGTACCTACTTCTGGCCCATTACCCAGTGGCTCTCCGTTTGTTTTAACACTGACTCGTCGTACATCGTCAAGTTAAGTAAACGAAATGCTGAGAACTCTCGACTGTCTTGCAATCATTAATCTCGGCTCATGTGCTCCAATCTGTATAACCATAAACAAAGGCAATGATTCATGTTTGGTCTACTGGTCAGTCTATTTTGGCTGGAAAACCTCTGGCATTTCGTTGCTTACTTTTTGTAATACCCGCCGTGTGTACCAAGAATACCGTAAGCAATCCCATTTGTGGCTACTATTTGCTTTGAACTAAGGCTCAGCCATTTCGTTCACGAGGACCAACATGTAAGCCGTTAACCACTGTAGGTAGGGTTCTACTCTCGGCTCACGCTATCTCTACCTGATGAGTCCAAATAAGGATGAAACAAGTCATGGTGAGCATCCCTAAAACACCCCGTGTTATTGCACCCAGTTTGCAGTTAAGGTTTCCGTTAAATTAAATATACTCAAACATTGAAATCAAAACTCAACATTGTGCGCTGATGGGTCACTGTAAGCTGGAGGTCAAATACGCAGCAGGCAGTTTGAGTTCAATTATGTATGATGGGATAAAAGCGTAACTTTACAACATCAGGGCATTCGTTGGTCTCAGTACCTTCGAATACTCAGTCTGCAGCTGACCTTTAAATCCACCCCTAAGTGTGGACCTTGATGATAGGGACTCTATGGCCACGCGGCTAACTTACGTTTCGGTTGAGCGCAGGAAGACATATCCCTGCACGGAAACGCTTTGGCCCATAGAAGAAAAATAAGCGGTTTTATTACGTGTAAAGTAGCTGAGTAGACCCGTCATATAAATAGTAATATACCATATGTAGCCCGCATCGTCATTGAGGTTGTGAAAACGCCCTAACAGTGCTTTGTGATCAGCACTTTAACCGGCGGTCAACGTTTCTTTCCTCAAACACAACAGTCGGATCGGCCGTACGATATCCACTCTCTACACCAGGTGACTTGCTCACACCATAAGCACACTGGACAGATGGGACTGTCATCACAGATAATGATAGTCACTAGATTCAACTAATAGAATGTACTATTTCCATCTGGTCCTCGTGAGCCAGTTGTCTAAGCTTCACTTCGCATTGACATTCCGCGTCGCAATCCAACCACACAAAGTGTACTCCAATATGCCCTGCAATCACATATGTCCATCTCTCTTCTACTTAACTGCAGGTCATCAATTTGGAGAGGCTTTCGTCGCACTGGGTCTGCCAGGAAGCTATCTTACGGAAGGCAACGTCTTTCTTGGTCACTATCGTGGCCGCGAGTTGATCAATGCGATGCGACTGAAAAGTTCCCCACAAGATCTTAAACACCTTGGCTTTAATTTGGGCTTCGCCGTACTATTGACAAAGCTTGTTCGTGAGCCCGAGATATCTATCAAGCAAGCAATTGGCTCCGATATGGATAGGAGCTCAGAGGTTAACCAAAACGTCCCTCGTTTCAACAGCTGGAACGTACTCGCGTCTAGTTCGATGTGGTTCGACAACGATTACCGAGGCATAGTAATGATTTTGGACCAAGCGTTGGATATAGGTGGGGTAAGTTTTTAAATTAATGAAATCTCCATACTTTCTCCGCTCTCATATTTCTGTCGTTTTCATTGATCTCATGTTGGGTGGTATTTGCGACGAGGCATCAGAGCATTCGGTTACAAAGAGTTATGCGACTTGTAACAATTGTGATGCATTCTATGCGCCAGCTACTACTTTCTGTTACACTGCGCAACGGTATGTGACTGCAAAAATCTAACATCATTTGTTATATAATTTGTAAATGGCGAATTCAAGTTTCACATTGGTATTTGTTTAAGCTACAGATTTTATGAACATTGACCACAAATATTTCTTGCTGAAGATAAAAGTGTTCACAATAGTGGTCTATGACCCGCTGTATCTTAAATATATAAAGTGATGCAAACATATAACCTAAAGAAAACATTTGCATAGCGTGACTTAAGCACGAAGCTAGATGCATGATAGGCATTAATCGGTCAAGAATTGGAGTTTATAGCTTTTGATTTGGAATGTTATGTTAGGGCAGTCACGTTTGATGCTTCAACCGTAGTCAGCTTTCATGTCTTTGTCCCATGGTCCGTGGTAACATTCTTCCATCGTCATGAGTCTTGATGAAAACTTCCCCTGTTTGCCAATTACTGACCACAGTTAACGGGGAATTGATCAAAATGACCGTTCAAGAAAGGCAGCCTGACGCTCAGGTTGCACACCTGATCGCGAAATATTTAACCTGCTCCTGATAATTAGCTGATTTACTGTTCCCAATAAAGTTTTGTATAATCGATACTAATGACTGCCTCACATTCATCTTTGAGACAAATTCTTCGTCACACAGCCGAGCTCCATTTAGAGGGCCGTTATTGGCTAAATTGCTGAGGAGTTGATAAAAATTCAGCATCAGTTACAGAATCTTCACAATTTGAAGCCGATTCGTGTAACTGGGCCCCATCTTCACGCTCACTGACTTCATCATCTGATGAAGCAAAACCTTTAAATTTTGGAAATGGTGAGTCTTCAGTGTGCAATGGGTCGAATTACAGGAAATACTGGGATATAAATAAATAAACATGCGTTTTATTCGTCGACAGTGCGAGGCACAGACCAATTGAGTGTTCTTATCGACATGTACAACGTGATCGCATAATGTAGTTAATTGTACGTCTTTTGTTCAATGGTTCCCCTATGGATTTTTGAAGTAAGTAGCAGTTTGAAGTAGTAGGAGTATTAAGAAACTGGGAACCATAATAAATGTAGATTTCACGGGAAGTTCAAGGAAAGTAATACGGTCATACATGGAACTGTCCCCAGGGAACCTGCTTCCATGCAGGGTATTCCCACGATGGGTTTTACCCAAACTTTCAGGTACCAATTGGCTCTGTGCCTGTGTGGCAAGATAGTAAATAGGCCAGCAGCTGGTTAACAAATGTTTTTTCATAAGCTGTTTTATGCATACACTATAGGCGATGAAGCCTCAGTTTGTTCTGTCATGCGGATCAACCAAGTGTGGCACCATTTTGTTTTAAGCCAATTAGTCAGTAGCAATATGATTTGCATGGGTATACTTTTGTTTTGGAAGCTGGAATCCGTCACCACAAGAGATCAGCCCAGTCATGACCAACAAGGAAACAAAAAAGAAGATAAATTATGAGGAATTCTAAAACATAATGATGAATACAAACGCTTGCCGATAGGTTAATCACAATTTGATGGAAAATCTTGGCGAGTCACAACGATGGTACAGAGACATCAGCTTGAAAGGCGTAGTGCATCTACGAACCAGTGCGTCAAAGGAGAAAACAGAATTGGTTAGACGGATTGATAGGAGTAAGATCGTTTACAAATACATACACAAGAATTCAACTATATGTAGGTAACCTTATAATATTGAAACGAATAGAGGATATGGCGACTTTCATATGTATCCAGGACCTTTCTCATACAAATCATCTAGAGTCACCGTTTGGCTTAGTGTTGACCAGATATTTGCAACAGTCAGGTGAATATTAATCATGCGTCTGAATTGCGGATAGTTAGTGCAGTTTCTAATATTCAATGGGAGTTTGCTCCATATTAACGCATATTTTACGGAGGAAACATTTGAGCGGAGCTTTGTGCGAGACTTTTGTATTTGCGCTGTGCGCTCGCTGTTTCTTAGTTCATAGTGCATACGGGTCTGAAACTCGAGTTGTGGCTGAGCAATGAAGCTTAACCCAAATAGTAAGCGGTATAGAAGGCTCAGATGAAGTTTAAGTCTGCTTAGCCATAACGGCTCCAGATTTAGCGCCTCGCAACACTCACGGTATGTCATAGTATTAGGCATGTTCAGAAACCTTTTTGTGAATGATCGTTAAATGTTTTCTAATACTATGAGATCTTTCGCTGTTTTTGATTGTAAACGCAATTTATAGTGACCATGAATATCTCAGTCTGTTATGGGTTCATAGTTCCAGCCAAATGATGGGAATTCCAAATGGTAGGCATTTGCGTCTGACTTTTGTCTAGTCACGATGTATGTTTCACAATAATGGCATACAATGTGTGGTGCCCATTATTGATCTTTGTCACCATCACCTGTTTCAAGGCGTCCTTTATGGCACATTTTACAAACGGACTTATATTTTTCCTTTGACGAACTAGTATATAACCTCCGCATAGATAGCAAAATACATCTGGTTCATCGATACATTAACATGGACCTGAGTAAGTCATGGTCATAACTGAAACGAAAGTGGATTGGTATTCTATTTATGTAAAATGTCAAAATGCCTAAAAACTAGAGCATTTAGAACGGGTTTCAGATTTGAAATCAGCATAAGATGTTCACGTAGAATCGGTCTGCAAATCGTTTGCGACTGAAATTTGCAAGACTTGTTACCCTATGTTATCAACCACCGGGAAAAAATACTATGAGTTTGAGAATGTTGCGGAATTCTGGCAAAGTAAACGGATTGAAAGCTTTTTTATTTCTCTAGAAAGACATCCTTTAGTCGCATCACTCTCACTCAAGTGTGCTGAAGTGTAAGTTCGATCGAAGCAATCACGGTCTCAAGCAGACTCACACAGCAACCTAGAATGTCCTCCCCAGCGATAGAAATAGTATAGACACAACTCAGATGTTAGACCTGAACTAATCTCAGAGACTCTCAAGTCGTTTTTAATGGTCCCTTGTAACTGCATGAGATCTCACTTATTCCATTGTGTACTAAACAATCAGCTTCACGCCGATCATTGTAACTATCTCCTTAAAATGAGACAGCAGCCGGTTATCAATGAGTAATCAACGTGACATCGACAGTGTTTACAGTTGAGTTCCTTCAGTCTTAATGATTGCTTTTCCATTGAATCATACAATAACCTTTGCACAAGTTTCGTGCAATTATCCTATCATAAACTGATAGCTGGTGGCTGGTTAGGACATTCATCCACCTCTACTCTCCATTTCGGAGGGGTGTGTTATGCTTGTATGTTGGCTAAGTACCAGCGTTGTGTAGTGAAAAGCTGGTGTTGTTGTTGTTGTTGCCGCCTCCGACTGCGCCGATGATGTTTATGATGATTATGATGATGGCGACGGTGACGAAGACTGCGACGATGATAGCTTCAGGTCAATAGACGGCGGCAGTACCATTGGCACTTCTGCACTTCAACATGGATTTAACTTCGTCCTTTTGGGCCCCACGCCCCTTCTGATTGCAACGGTGGGGCAGCGGATTGCTTCAGTGGTCATATAAAATAATACAACAGTCGTCTGATGTTCATGAACTTCGTAAACCTAACATTTCTAATCAACTGAGAAGTTGTCTGTATTCTCCATCCTTCCACAAATAAAATCCGTATAATCCTTGGCTTTTCAATCAATAGCAAATCTGTACAGCAATCGAAATGCTCACAAGCTGCTCACTGTCATTTTCCGTTGCACTTTTTAGGTCACCTATTTGAAGGATCAGTGGGGTCACGTTGGGAGCTTCTTTGGATACAGGTGAGTAAGGTATTCTGCGTCAGTTAATACGCTCCCGTCTGATTTGCCCTTCTTCTTCTTTGATGAAATCGCACACCAAATTCACAGCTGAACGCGTAAGGTATCAAACTATTACAAGCCTTTTCATTTTAAAATATGGATACCGTAATGACGAAAATTCAATAAGATTTGGCATTAATAGATCAACACGAATACATTTTTGGCTTCCGTCCTTCCGTCAACATTTATCGCTGAGACAATCGTTACATGTGTTGGTACCCATCCAAGTACCTGTCATTGGAAAATGCAGGAATAATCAATTAACCGTTCCTCAAAATTTCGGCGATTTGCGCATAACCCACACAACAAGAATGTTACAAATATGCTTTCTTCTCGAGATTAGTTCATTGATGGTAAATTTTACTAAAGGAATCGGTGTCATCAGAACGGAACGTGATAGAATTTCGGTTTGGAAAGATTCTTATACCTCTGTTTCCCTTGATGCACTGGTAGCTCGGGTTGATCCTTCCTGAGTTCACTTGTTCGCCGAGCTTTGGGATTTGGATGCAAACGTTTCATCGCCAAGCGAGGTGACTTCGTCAGTGCGCTGCTGGGTCCAATCTAATCCGCTGACTTGTTCGCCGATTTGTAATCGACCAGCAAGTGACTTTTGAACCGACCTCGATCTGTGCCCCGTGACCTTCACCGGTCCGCCCAAATCTGATAAATACGGGCGATCCGTGGGAAGCCTTAACTGTTGCTGATGTGTTGTTGTAGTCTCGTTTAGCTGATCACGACGGATTTTTAAAGGTGTTTTAGTTCCCTCCATCTTAACGTTTGGTACACTGGATCAATCTCTGTGCATGTTTATCGAATGCTGCGTCGAGTACCATGCTTCGAGGAACTCTCTTCCTTTCGTGTCTCTCCTTTTGCATGGACCTCTGTGTTGTTCCAATCGAAGTGATGTCCTTCTTCGCCTGCATGTATTGGAATCAGTGAGAGATCGTAATGGTTCTTACAAACTCTCTTATTCTCTTGTATTCTGGTGGACCGTTGTCTTCCTGTTTGACCCACATAGTTTTTATCATAATCTTGACATCGTATCTCGTAAACAACATTTCGTCTTTCATGTGTTCCGCGGCTAACTTTGGGATTAGATTGGACCCAGCAGCGCACTGACGTCGTCACCTCGCTTGGTGATGAAACGTTTGCATCTCAATTCCGATGCTCGGCGAACAAGTGAACTCAGGAACCTCTGTTTCCCATTTGTAGACTATTGTAAAGCTCCAATCGTTCTTACCGGATACCGGGAAAGCACTAGAACACGTTATCATCTAGATGTTAAACATACCAACACTCAAAAATAATTGATCATTAATACTTGCTGCTTGCACTGATTTCATTAGGCATTATATAAATTAGTAAATAAAACGGTACATTTCATCACAAGTGCTATCAAGTCAAGTGCAGATAAACGTTTCGTACCTCGATGGGTGCTATTTTAGCATTTTGCCTTCTCAACTGCAGATAAATTAAAATGACCTCATCGGTAAAGCGAAGGAGGATAGGATGCTATGGTATTCTCTCGTAAACAGTCCCGCTTCACCGAGTAACGATAGCACATTGCTGAGCAAAATTCTCGAGATTTATATCCGGTTGTTGGGGCAATTTCACTAAAATTTTCCTTATAAATAGGTTTGAATTGTCCTAACAGTTCGTGGCCAAAAGCAGCAAATCGCGAATCATACACAGTGTCTCAACCTTTAAATCAGAAATATAGCTAAAGTAAGGCGGTCTCAATAACCTTTTGGAATAGTTTGACCAAGCAGTTTTTCAGAATATGCTTGAAAACTGAAGTATTAAATGTATATAGGATAAAAATGATGTTCGGTGAAAGATGTAAAGACAGGTTTATAGGTCCAACCATCACAAGGCAGACTAAGGTCGATAACTATGGGTTCGAATGGATCAGTGTTCTTCCGACTTTGTCTTACTGCAGCTTGGTCGATTTCGACTCAATTTGCTTTTGTGTTTCCGACCATTCAGATTCACCTATTCAAAAGCCAATGACTTATTTTTCGATCCTTTGCTGTTCTTTTTTTATCCTAAGCTTACTATACGAAACAATGAAAGGTTTAAGTCATGGGTCCAGCATGTCGGATTACTGGTCAATACATCGTACATGACGTGTGCATTTGACTAATCATGCGTCATATCTGTCGATTTTTGTGTAGGAATGATTGAGCGTGAAGGCAAAGTTCACTTTATCTGAGGAAACTTTTGTGTCAAAAGCTAAAAGTTACCTAAGAAATACACAAACTGCTCACTTACAAGTTCGAATTCATTACCCATAAACCACTGGAACGAGAGTTACTTGCGGGTTAGGTGGCGTAGGGGAAAAGGATGCTGAGAGCAGTAACTGTCCTCCGGCTTTGGGTCGAATTTCTGAAATCTCGCCCCCAAGCTCCCGATGAACAAGTCGAAATCATGGCATTTTCATGCATAAACAAACACCTATAACTGACATGGTCCTTTAGGAAAAAAGTGGCGTTGAATTGATTTCTGAGTTTATTTGATCGGTCTTCCGTTTGACTTGATGTTTCGAGTAGATTTAACAAATTTTAAAGTGACATCTCAAATTTGAAAGGTGCATGGTGAATACATGGTCGCTCCGCGCAAGGAATCGAACTAATCCAAAGTGCTTAGCTAAAAACTGAATACTGAATACTGTATTATAGAGCAAGTAGAAATGGATTCTGTACAACTCTTTCAAAATATGGTGAAAAACGTTATAAAAGTTGTTAACCGTGGATATCATTGTCGTTCTCATGTAATATTTAAAATATTCGACATGATATTTCAGGATTCACAAATGTGATATGTCATCGTAAGTGTCCAGTCGTTCTCTGAATTGAATAGTGGCAACGTATAAATCTAACAATATTTTGTACTGTTGCACAGATGTTGCCCCAATCACATGTGCAGGCAAACTGTTCTAAATGTTTACCACTCTCCGTTCGAAGCACAGCGGGTGGGGAACATATTTCATATCCGGCACGACAAGTTTGTATCTGTACCTGCGTGTGCTGCATGGCCCTCGTAAGTGCAGAATTGGCCTTAGCATTGCGAAGTCACCGTGATGTAGAATACGGTAGGTAATAATGAGGTCGACTCGCACCCGACGGTGGGATAAGGTGTAGAGTCCTAGTTTCTCGCACCGGTCTTCATACCCAAAGCCACGTAAACTCGGGAGGAGCCTGGTAGCAACGTGTTGGACCCGTTCGATCTTTTGTGCCTCGCCTCTGGTAATCGGAAAGTAGGCGGGCGAACCGTACTCTAGCATTGGTCTAATGATAGAAGAGAACAGGCGAGTGGCAACCTCTTCAGACCAAGTGCCGAAGCTACGTTTGAGCGCCCAAAGCATGCGCAGTCCGTTACGATATAGCCTGTTCGTGTTGTCCACGGACATCAAATCGTAGCGTGAGACTACACCTAGGTCATTCACGAAGGGTGTGGGATATAGCGTTTGGCCGTCAAGGGTGTAGGATCGGCCGTTAGCACCCTTCCTCAGGCTCATAAATACAGACTTGGCTGGGTTGACCGGGAGAAGAACTTCCGCAGACCATGTGTATAGGCGGTTGAGGTCTTGCTGAAGTAGGCCACAGTCATCGGGAATGTCGCTTTCTCTCCAAATCTTCATGTCGTCCGCAAACAAGGCACACGGCGACCGGAGAAGTTGCGGTAGATCGTTGATGTGGATCAGGAACAGAGTTGGCCCAGCACAGTGCCTTGAGGCACGCCACTTGTAGAAGGGTACCAGTTAGTTAGATGGTTGTCGACCTGTACCCTCCACATTCGTCCAACAAGAAAGTCGCGGATCCACCGGTGCAGTGAGCCACCGACACCACACATCCTGAGTTTGTGAAGGAGAACCTCATGACTGACCTTGTCGAACGCTTTACCGAAATCGATGAATATCACGTCGACGGACTTCCCCTTGTTTATTGCCTTCAACCACTCATGCCTCGTCACAAGCAGGTTCGTAATGCATGATCGACCTTGCATAAAACCGTGCGGTGCGGGAGTCAGGACCTCATGTGACTGTAGCAACTGCAGCAATCCCTTCTTCACGACTTTCTCAGCAACCTTTGCCAAAATACGTGTCAGACAAATTGGCCTGTAATTGTCTACTTTTCTAGGGTCGCTGCCTTTCGGAATAGGCTTCAGCACCGCACATTTCCAGTCAACCGGCAACACACCTTCGCACAGCGACCTGTTGAAAAGGTCAGTCACGACAGGAGAGAGGATGGTTGAAAGTGACTTGAGAACCAGTGGGTGAAGCCCATCAGATCCGGTAGGTTTGGTGCCGTAAAGGTTGGAGAGTAGTTGACATACCTCTTCAACGCCGCAATGCAGACTATCGAGTTCGGTAAAGGCGGTACACGTCGAACTCGGAACAGACACTTGGTTATTCGCAAATACAGTAGCGAAGTGCGCCGCCAACACGGACGCACGCTCAGTGCTGGACATTAGGGGCTGTCCATCCGTGCCATCCAGCACTGGCACATCACCTGTCGGCTTCAGGCGTCGCTTCACGTATGCAAAGATTCTCTTTGGGGCGGTCTTCGCGGATAATGCGAGCTGCTCTTCAAAGAGTCGGCGTTTATTCTTTTTTGCACTGTTGCAGATGTTCCGCTGACATTTATACCCTTCGTAATCATTAGCAGGGCCAGAGAGGAGGAATTTGTCCCACAGTTTGCGCCGCCTCCGAGCCAGGTTTTCATACTTCTTATCAAACCAATGAGGCTTAATCGGTCCAACCTTTCGACATTAAAATGGCACAAACTGGGAACACAATGATATCAATCTCTCTTTTATAAATATCCAACAATCTTCCACAGATGCAGCTTGTGACAGAGACCAATCCAGTTGGCTCGCGGCTCGAGCTAGACCATCGAAGTCCGTTTTCCAGTAGTTGGGAGCTGGTTGCAGCGGATGTGAATACGGCAAAGATAATTCCATATC